GAAGGTCAAGTCCATCGCGGGGCACAAGTTTGTCCCGGATGTGAAAGTGCTTTGGGAAGGTTTTGAAGATATCGAGTCCTCATGGGAACCGCTGCAGAAGCTCATGCATGAATGCCCGGCCGTGGTGAAGAACTACGTTGAAGGCGTGAAGACAGCGAGCGACGGCGATGCGTTGTGAAAGGCGATGAAGCGAGCGAGGACGAAGAATCAGCAAGGCCCAAGTGTGTCCTGCGGGACATGGCTTGAGGTGTGTGTTGTGGTGGGCGACTTAATCCAAGTCCCGCCATGACACAGGTGGTCCTCAACCGAGGCCACCGGGTGCCGACCCTTGGCGAACCGACACGAAAAGGCATAGTATTACTAGTAGTAGTACTAGTAGTACTAGGACGTAGAAAACAGAAACCTGTCCCAGCCAACTGCCGGAGTCTCACTCTTGGTTCTGCAACGCCGTGGTAACATCAAGTCAATCAAGTGTGCGGTTTGCAGGGAGTCGGCACTCCCCCATTTGGTTGTTTGTGTTGGCACTGGCGTGGGAAACAACACAGGTAGATGGATATTGGAGGGGGTAGTGAATAGATACTAGTATTACGGAGTATATGCTTAGGTACAACTTGCAAGTAGAAAGCTATACTGTTAAAACCGTGCATTCATGTTGCTATTGACTTCGTGTTTACACTGACAGCAGCTGAGCACCCTAGAGCTCGCATAGGCGGTGGAATTTCACTCTAGGGAAATTTGGCCACTCAATGTGTGGAGCTGTATATCTTGAGCTCAAATACGAATTTGAATGGGGAAACTTGTGTCACGTTAAATGAAAGATAGCTAGCTATCACTGGTTTCACTCGTCTCGCAACCGCTAACAGCGTATTTGCGACCAATTGTGTGGAGGTGATAACACCAGGTCGTTCATTGCGATGTAACTTAATTATATAATCCAACTGGTAATACATGCTCATACTTTAATCAAGTCAAAAGAGGTACATTGGAGCCAAAAAGCAAATGTGACCATTCGTGTTGGACAGAGTTGTAGCTGATAGGTACAGTATTGTTGCCACATACTGTACTACACCTTTTCCCGATCAAGTTGGCACTTTGTTCCAATCAAAGTGGTTTGAATAAAAAATATAAATTTTGACAAGTTGTGCCACGTGGATAAGTTCCAATCAAAATGGATTTTGTTCCAATCAAAGTGGTCAATTTTTAGGCGCGATAAACCCCCGCCAAGCCAAGGCCACACGAAGTACAGAGAATGCATT